CCCCCTCCCAATTACTACACTAATGAAACAGCATAGTGAAATAATAAAAAGTGTGGCAGGCCAAAGATCCTAAAAGGAACATAACTACGGCCTGACAGTTATAGTATTTAATTTCTATTCATTTCTCCTTTGCCTCATCACACATAATTCTTCAAGACTTTAGCAAGCCTCTCTTTTCAGTACTATCCAGGTCAATCTCTTGATTTTTCATTTTATTTTCCTTTGAAAACTTAAAGTCTCAGCAAATTTCCTCTTATAAATCCAATGACATCCTTTTCTAATTATCTTGGCCTGACAGTTGTAATAACTTAGAAGTAATTAATTAATTAGAAGTAAGAAATGTTGTGTTCAAAAAGAGTGGTTTGCAAACTTAGTAGCCTTTGAAAGTCCTACTGTGGTTGTGAGCAAGATGCTAATCCTAGTATCTTCCACTGATGGCATAGAAAATGGTTGTCCTCTGGTTTCCTCAAGAGGAGCAGCTACCTGGGTGGTTTCTTGCCCTCCTGTTATCCTCACCAGTTCCTTGGTCTTTGCTGTGATCATCGGTTCTACTTTTGCTGAGTTGTCTTCAGTTTGCTATACTTTTCCCAGAGGTCTCTAAGCAGGATATATTCTGAGGAATAAACAGACAGCAGTGTCATCAGGATACTGTGAATTAAGGGGACAACATAGTTCTACCAAATCCCCCCCAATCCAAAAATGGCATTGTGAACAAAGCAAACCTGGTCCACCTTAAAAGTCTAGTGCAATGCCCAGGCTGCCAGCAGAGACTCACTCAGGACTGGCAAAAGTCCCCAAGGGAGACCCCTGGTTGAGTTGTGACCAGGTAGCCCCAGGAGAGGTTGTAGCAACTTTCCTGCCTGCCGAAGAAAGCAATGGCAAGCTATTTATTCAGATATGCCGCAATACCACACACCCCCAACCCCACACACCCATGGAAAGAAGCTCAACAAGAAGGATGCCAAAAGGAGAGTGCCTGCATCCGGGGCCTGGAAGCCCCAGGGAAGAGCCAAGGACTGTGTCAAGCAAAAAGAAAGGGTTGGAACAGCAGGTACTGGAGGAAATAAGAGGACTGCCGCTACTGCTGGAGAGAAGCCTGTTGCTTTGGGCAATATCCACAACCACCAACTAGGCTGTAATCCTGAGCAGACAGGCACAAGGAACAACCCAGGCAACGGGGAAGACGTCTTGGGAACTGCCCGACCTATTTTCAATCAACCACAGACTGGTTTGTCTTGGTGTGACATTTAGCTGTCACCATGGATTCAATTGTGGTTAAGGAGGACTTTAACTGTCAGAGTTGATAATCATGGTTTCTTGTAGGACAAAAAAATGCACTATAGACTTCTGATCTAAAATTATCATTTATTTATGTGGCATTTATGGATATCAAATCTTTGGGAGGGCCTTATTATTTCATTTTGGCTACCTTAACAGACTTAATCATGATTAGTGTTATTAATCAAATGACATACATTTGAACAAAATTATAAACAATGCTGGGATCTTAGTCTCACCCTGCTTGGTTTTCTTTTTGTGTTCTCATTAAATAAGTCATATCATCAGTGCTTTGGCACTAGTAGAGTTTGCTGGCTTTTAATGCCAATTTGTGTAACACAGCACTCTTCCATCTACATTTTAGTAGATTGAATTGTGCAGAATTAGGTTCTGAACATTTTAAGCTTTAAATATTAAAATATAATTCAATGTTGTCGTGATTCAAAGTGCAGCTAATTACAGATCAAAGTCCCCAAATACTCAGCCTAGAAAGCAGATGGAATTCACTAGCTCCTACAGAGAAACTGGAAGCTAAAGCCAGAGAAACAAAGCTAAACTAAGCACAATATTCTTGACCAGTCAGTTTCTCAAGTTTCTCAATTACCAGTTTTTCCCGCAGCAAAACAGCCTTTGGTTTTGAGACTTATTCCAGGATTCCTCAGAGGCTGCTGAGGTAGGAAAGCACATGCAAAATAACCCCAGGGAGGGGCTGGGGAATCTGACTCTGTACCTGACCAAGAGCCACGTCTTGCTGAGGGAAGCTAGGTTGGGAATAATCCTGCAGGAAGGGGCATATATTCTGAGCAATTCCTGACAGTTGGGGAGGCAATCACATGCAAAAAAACCCTCCAAATCCTCTGATTGTGAGCTGCTCAGAGTCATTTGCTCAAACAAACAAATAATTATAGTATTTTAAAGTGACTTTGATCTTATTTCCTATCTTTCAACAGGTCTTCGCTCATGGCACATTGACCTTCAATTCTGTGACCTGAATAAGCAGCTCAAACTCTTTGTCACATGTCATCTTGCCCACTTTTCATCAGAGGTCAAAGGTCAGAGTCCATTTCTTCATCTTTTGACATTCCAATAAGCATGGTGAATAAGATACTGATACCAGCACAGGATGCACTTAAAAGGCAGAGGTTTCCATACATTGGTCGGCTGCATGGACTCCCCCCTTGCCCCTAGACTTCTGTAATGCATTCCACAGGAGGTTGCACTTTAAGTGATCCAAAATATGGTGGTTTGTCTGTCAGTCCCCAAGAGGCAGATCGAGCAGCTTTGGCTGCGGTAACTTGAGTGCACATCACTGGTTGGTTTCTGGGCCCTAGTTAAAGAGATACTTGTCAATATTCGCACTGGGAAAGCCTATTAAAAACACTCCGGTTCTGCTGAGCCGTTGAATGCTAATTGCCTTTGGTCTGGCCAGACCAGGTTAGACTGTCAATTGTTGATTTAATATTCATTTTCAAAATTGGCCTTTCCTTAGGCAGGTTTTCTTCAAGCATATGATCAGAATTGTATGTAATATCCCTGGGGTGGTTGCACCATAATTCTGTGTAAGACATTTGCAAATACTAAGTTTATGTGTTTGCTCAAGAATAAATAAAGCAAATTGGTTGAAAATGTTATCATATCCTTCATTATTAATAAGTAAGCGGTTGCATATTGATCCCAAATCACATGCGAAATTGATGTATTATTATATCTCAAATAGCAAGGAATATAGCAATTGAGCTAAACAAAGGATTTCTACTTTAAAATGGTAGATTTTAATCACTGTTGTAAAAGATTTTAGGAGGTTGTCTTTTGCATTTGACATGTTAATACATATTTGGAATTGGCAACTAAGCATTGTGTCCTGGATGCTTTGGCATTTTCACTTTGAGATTTTTTTAAAGAGAAACTGTGATTGAATGGAAAGTAACAATTCATTTTTATGAAGTATTAAAAATTGAAATGAAGTTATTGTTATATTACAATTGACCTGTGAAAGAATTGGAATATCTGATTTTGGAAAATCAGTGGGTCCAGATATTTAAACGTGAAATATATTTCCTATGATTTAAAAATGAAATTAATTCATAAGAAAATATTATTTCAGATCTATAGGATACCTTAATAATTTTTAAAGAGAAAATATTAGCGTTCCTATGCTAATGATGTAAGAAATTTACATTCTTAATATGTATCAGAATTTGTCATCTTATAAAGAATGTTGGCTTTTTCCAGCTTTGCAGCAAAGAAGGTAATGCTGTAGAACTGGAAAAAATGTTATTCTCCTGCTTTAAAAAAATAAATCCAGGATATGAATATATTATATGTTTTGAAGACATTATGATTAAAAAATGAGAAATGATATGTGGTCCAAGTTTAATGCTCAATGATTAAAGTAATTCTATATGAGTATTTATACTTACCATATAGGTTTTTTGTTTAGTTCTTTAACAATCCTTTGCAATCCTGGGTTTTAGCAAAAATCCATTTAAATTTGCAACAGTTTGTATCAACTTCATTCATCCCCTTGCCCCTGTCAGCATCTGTGTTTGTGCCTTCCCAGCAGTCATTGCAATTTGTTTTGTTACATCACTCAGCATGAAATCATTTTTTTCTTCTATGCTAGGAAGATTCAGGGTTAACAAATCTATTAAAATCAACCTAGCTTGCAATGTGATAATCTTCCAACCTTGAGCTCTCCTGCGTGCATAAAGAGTTGGCCCTCCGTTATGCCTTCTTTCCAAAAAGGCCACTGGTGGTCAGGGAGTGAAGTTCTGTGTCAGCTTCTCTGGAGATAAAAGAGGGTGAAGAAAATGATGCTTCTTTTCCACCTTTAAGAGATTAGCACCACTTGGCTGTCTTGCTTGTGTCAGGGTCGCTGTCTAAAATCCTTTTTTTTAAAGGAGTCCTGAGCATATGGGAAAAGTATGACCAGGCTTAAGGTTTGGATGGGCTAGCACAGTTAGGGTGAAGCACCGCAGGCTTGAAAGCCAGGGCCATCATTTCCACAGAGCTAGAGGTTTAAAAACTTGATGGGATTATGGAATAAATGGAGATACCGGCTAATGCCAGGAATCTCTCCTTTAACGCTGGCGATGGAGATTATATATATATATATATATATATATATATGTGTGTGTGTGTGTGTGTGTGTGTGTGTGTGTGTGTGTGTGTGTATATGTGTATATATATATATGTATATATATATATATGTATATATATATATGTATATATATATATGTATATATATATATG